TATGGTCGCCATTTTACCTCATGAAATGAGAAATGCCTCTTTTACCTCTCCATGAGCCGATCTAAATTCGCTGGTGACGGGTAGCTTTATAAAGACGTTTCTTGTATACCGAAATTTGCTATCCACACACTGGCGAAACAAGCATACATCTTTGTACTGCCACCATACATACCCTGTGTCGGTGCTTGGAGGCATTGAAAAATAATTTTCTCGTCTTGAATTACGCATCAACAATATCACGTAAGAGATCCGTGGACATGACCGTAATTGATAAGTTGATTGCATGCACAGTGCCAAAGACGCTTATATTGGCGAGGAACGCTTCCAGTATACGATGATATGCTCCATGGCGATTTTAAAGTGACGAGATTAGTACGACCTTCCCGAAGCTTGGAATATTGGAAGGGGCCGAAATGGCGGTTGCCATGGCAACTTAGAACCATCAGCTAATCACCTTGCGAGGTTTGGTCGACCATATGTTAGTATCTGCTTGTGTTCGGCTAGCAGGGAGAGAAGGCAATGACGCTACTTTCCCACGATCGAGTGAATTTAGTGTGGGCTATGGCCCACTAGACCACCGATCCCCCATGCCTTGAGAGCAGAGCTGGCCAAATTACTCATATTTTGTAATTAAATTACATTACTAATTACTTTGTTGGAAATTGCTGAAATGTAATTAAATTACATTACAAATTACCACAGCCAGAAAGTAATTAATTACCACTACAAATTACTTTTAAAAGTAATGACATTACTTTCGCATTACTCTTGTATACTTTTACAGGCTGTGCCTACACAGGCGCAGCCTGCGTAGGCGCAGTTTCAAACACTGCTGGCGACTAAATTCTCGTGTTTTCCCACTGCATTTTGTGTTTCATGGTGCATGTATTTTCCCGAGGACATTGGGAAGCATTGTACTATATTTGAAAAAAAAGCAGTAAACTATTTTTGTTGGGTACGCGCGTGACAGAACGAATGCGACTGGAATGTTAGTTTTTTTTTTTCGGTAAGTTTTTACGGCGCCGTTCGATTAGCCGCGTGTCAAACGACAAAGCGTTTAGCTGTCGAAATTAATTAACAACAGAAGATAGCCGAAAGGCATGCATTTCTCACGCTCACAAATAACATGTTTACCGATAGACAGAGGAACGCACGCGACTGATCCGTTTCCCACCCCAACCCGGACAACTATTTTTGGAGATGTTTGAGGACCCTACGCGGATTATCTCTGGGAGGGGGGAGAACTATTGTCATTGTTCGCAAAATCGCGTCGAGGGCCGTTCCACCAGGGGCCTTAATTCGACCTACTTCCAATCCTTCGTTTCCCGAGAATGTCGAGCAGAAAAGCTCGAATGGCAGAAACTTACCAGCCCTATTTCTCACAGTGGAAGATAACACAGAGAGGGTACGCATGCAGCATGCATCAGAAAAAAAGTAAGCGGACACTTTTAAAGGAGCTGTGCAACGATATTCAATTGGAATTTTTTTCACTTGACACGAGCTTACTGGCACACCTGGGGCTCAAGGATACTCACACGCAACGACACTGGCCAAGAAACTCCTCTGTTGCGGTGTAATTTCAAGGACAAAAGCGATCATTTTCATTCAATCTCTCCTTTGCGAAATTGGATGACGTAACGTGGGGATCGCAGTACACCCAAGTGACGATATTTGAATGCGGTTCATAGATTGGACCCGAGCATTGCTTGGGCACTCGACTGGGGCTCGTGATAATTGCTAGCTCGAGAAGCATTCGGGTAGTGACCCGTGTCCAATCGCTGCAACGACGACAACAGCCGAGCCATAACAATGTCTGGAACGCAGCGCGTGTCCTGCGCTTTGCTAACCCCAGCGCGTGGCTATGATCAACAATGGCGGCATATAATCGGCTCCAGATCACGTGACCACTTGTTCTGGCTGTGAGTCGAGGGGGTGAACGCTGTTCGTTTTTCTTTAATTTTTCTCTAGGACTTCTATTGCGCGGGGTGAAAAACGAACGCGTGTTTCATAGGTCATTAACGTTAGGGATCCGTTTTAAGCGGTATTTGCGCAAAGTACAACAATTGTTGCATCGCTCCTTTAAGAGGGGCCAAAAAACGTCGAATGCAAAACCGCAAAACATAGGTAGAGAATCGCGCTGAGCGGGTTTTTACAGTTCAAGAGAGTGGCAGAAAATGTCTAGCTGATAGCGGGCGCGAGAGTCGCACCAGCCGCATTAGCATCAGCAACATAGCGGCGGCCAAAGAGCGTTTTTTTGGAAAGGTGTAGAGGAAAAAGAAAAAGTAAAATAAAAAGAAAAGCGCTCTTGTGTATTGTGGACACAAAAAATATGCCTGGTGCGAAAAAGTAATTAGGTAATTTAATTACAATTACCGTCGCTGTAGTAATTCATTACATTACTAAATTACCTGCTACAAAAAGTAATGAATTACATTACTAATTACTGGAACAAGTAATTAAATTACTGTAATTTCATTACAGTAATTACATTACTGCCAGCTCTGCTTGAGAGTGAGCTTGCTGCCTTTACACTTCGTCGCACGCACTACCAAAGCCCGGCCAAAGGCAACGAGCGCGTGCTGGAGGCGGGGCTTCTGCTAGTTACTTATCTTGTCACCGACTTATTCGCAACTTTCACGACCTATAGGGGGCGCGCTGGCGCCTATCAAAATGGCTGTCATCTGGATGATCGTCATAGAACAGCAGTACGAGGCTGGGTCTGCGACGCGTAAGTAATTATGGTTCTGCTATATACGAGCAGTTTATTTTTTCACGTCAAGAAGATGTAGGCAAGCACCTTTATTACGAGGCCAATCATCCAGGAGCTAGGGAGCGCGATTCTCGCACCGCGGTACCACCATCGCTGAAAGTTACGAATAGCTCAGCACAAGGCCTACCACACATATTGTATTCTGCACATCGAGGTGCAGTCTTTGGTGTACGCTACTACGAGTATTTTAGATTCGCTCCTTATGCACGACACGAACCAGAAGCGCCAGAGGGAATTGCGGTCGGTTTATTCTTCGACGTTTCGGCCGGGCTCCGGCCGAAACCGTCCGTTGTGGCTGTTTTCACCAAGGGTCTTCTCTTCTTCTCAGTTATACTCACGCCTTCGGCCCTCCGCTACCATGCCCGTTGTATATATAAATATTCTTTCAAATGATAACAATCTAAGCCGCCACAACAAAAGTGAAGCGCAATAAACATCTTATATGGTGCTCTCTTTCAATTTTCAATATTGCTGACCATCGTAATGTTTCTAAAACTTTAGAAACCAAGTAATGCAAATGAAAAAAAAAAAAAAAAACACAAAAAAAAAAAAAACGAACCCCGAGCATTTGATGAGGCTTTTTCTTACGACATACACGTACCGGTTACAAGAAGAAGTCAAACCACATTATTAATAGCAAACTTTTAACACCGCGCTTGCAAAACACACACACACACACACACACACACACACACACACACACACACACACACACACACACACACACACACACACACACACACACATCACGCTCGCAAAACAGAACTCCCCCCCCCACACACACACGCACACACACGCACACGCGCGCACACACACACACACACACACACACACACACACACACACACACACACACACACACACACACGTATGGTATAGAGAGAAAAAAATGAAAGGTCGCAACAGGTGACGGAGGAAGAAATCCGCAACTCGTTCTCAAAGGAACGGCACCGGCTGCTGAAAACCGAATGCGTTTTGCATGAAATAAAGATTAAGGAAGGCAGACACACGCGCAAACACCAGAGGGGGAATCGAGTAACGACCACAAATGCAAAGGCGGCGCACGACTTTTTTTTTCTCTCCCAATTTATTTAACGCTGCGTCTGCTTGAGTAGGTTACACGATGCTTTCATTATACGACGAGAACAAACTGTGCGGCCCAGTGGCGTGTGCGTGCCTACCCCAAAATGTCGCGCTGAATAATTAAATCAATTCGTTAATTATATATCAGCGAGCGAGCATTGAGGACGGGCGGCGAAGATTAGCACGTTAATTAACCCACTAATCGAAGCGTCCTACACTACGTGAGTCGGATGTCGCATCAATTAATTTCTCGAGCACGAGTTAGATCGTCCACGGCACGCTCAAAAGCGTGTCTACATTACATTCGACATGGTGGAAATGAGATCGGTACAGCGGCGCATATCGGGGTTGTGTTACAACGGAAAGGTGGCTCGTTGTAAACCCGATAGACTTAAGAATATTATTCGATAATTACAATTTCGAAGCTCTTAATAATGTGGCACCAGTAACTAATTTTGTATATAAATATTATCATATAATCAACCATCACCGCGTACGGCACCGCGGATCTCCGTGGTACCGGCTGTTGGTTGCTCATGTACGGTGCCGCAGCGCTCCACAAGCCAATAACGCTTATTATTATTATTATTACTATTATTATTATTATATGTTCGTGCACCAGTCTCTCACGTGGGACAACCTCATTTGTCTATAATACAATTATCGAATAAAACTGCGATACAGTGTTGTGAAAGACCACCATCCACAGGAACTTTTTTTTTTTAAAGAGTATTGTGCTAGTATTACTCTGTATTAGACTGTTACGCGCAAGAAGAGAGAGAAAAAAAAAGCCGCGTTTTTGTACTTGTGCTTTTGACAGCACTGCTCTTAGCTTGTGCGACGGGGTAATGACTAACACTGTAATCAATATTAAGCACATTGAAACCTGGACATATCGCGTCCTCATCGAAACAACATCCCAGTTGTGAGACCATCCGGAGTTTCGTTTTTGACACCTTGCCAAACAGCTGTTCGCGATGTCTAAAACAAACGGCTCCAGACAGTAGTTATGTTCGAGCATCCGACACAGACACCAACCCGTTCTCCGAAGCACCAACTTTTTGTTAATCGTTAACAATAAGCTGATCGTTACTTTTTCTTTCATATTTGTTTACAAGGGTCCGCTTGAAATAGAAAGAGGACTTACCGACACGAGCCTTCCATGGAAAGCGACCATCAAGGACAGGGCGACGTACGTCGCCAGCGTGACCATACTGGGCTGTGCCATGTCTCCGGGTGCGAATCACGGTGACATGCGACAAATCCTGAGGCTCCGATGCGACGGCCCAGCGACGCACCACAGAAAAGAAAGAAAAAAAAGCGACAGCGGCCACACGACTTGACCAACACAGCACCGCGCACGCCGTTCACACGCTCGTCGTCGTCTGGACGCTTCTTCCGGATCCAGCGTAGTCGTCCACTCGATGTAACACCAAATCTTTGAACATGACTCGGCTGTTCTGGCTGTGAGAGGTAAGGCGATCTCAGATCGGGTCGGTTCTTCGGTTTGTCGGTGTCGACTCGGAGAGCGGCGAGTTGAATGAAGCGTGCGAAACTTTCGCGAAGACGCCGTCGGCGGCCTCGGACGAAAAACCAGTCGGCGGCGCAACCGGCCCTCAAGGTGCTTTGGCTGCGACTGCTTTAGGCCGAGCGGTACGAGTCGGGCCGACGCTCGAAAGCGAGGAGGAGGACGCTGATTGGACGAGGCCGGGGAATGTGACGTAGGCGGTGCATGACGTCATGGGTCTGTCGTCAGGAGCGCGCCTTTTTGGTTGCGGTTCGGTCGCCTCCTCGTTTCGCTGCGCTGCAGTCCATGACAAATAAGTTTTGTTTCACTCGTTGCTTCTCATTCAAAGTCCTGTTTGATTGATGGACACTACTTTCAGTCAGGGTATGAAGTCTAGAACTTACTGCTCTCGCGTTTTCGATCTGAGAGTGAAACGTGTCTTGAAACAGATGTCTGAATGTTCCTCGTCCTGAAATGGGGCTTCACCTTTAACGACCGTTCAGGGCGGGGAAGCCGAGTTGTCGTAACTAACACTTTTAGACCAAACTACCTCTTTGCTTACCTTTCTATATTTCTTAAATGTGAAATTTCAACGCATTTATGTTGAGTGTAGCCCGTACGCGGCCGCCTCCGGAACTATCGTGAGTGCAAAAAAAACAAACGCCGCAAAAAAAAAAAAAAAAAAAGTGCTAGAATATTTCTTGAAGACGTTAAGAACAAATGGCGACCTCAGTTGGTTTGAGCTATGCGTACACGCTATACTTCGTTTAAGCTTAAGTTCAGACGCAGCCGACGCTACAAGCTAATGGGACCAATCAAGAAGCGTCAAAAGCGCAAGTCACTGGGGATTTTTTCTTTAGGATTGGCCCAACGAATAGAACGCTTACGGAAACACGGCGTACACAATGACGGAGCGCTTTTGTCGCTGTCTGACTGGCCACACCACCTCGTAGCATCGGCTGCGTCTGGACTCAAGGTGAAACCAAGTACATACAACTTCTTCGTGTGATATTACGCTCAATTTCGTAGCTCCTAACATATCTTTAGAGAAAACATCCATAGATTACATCAATTGTCTGCCTACCTTTGGTGACAATCCACCCTATTGCTTTATCGAGGCTAGGTTACCTTTCCGATATTATTTTCTACCTCTCCAGTTTTGTCCAATATGTCGTCTGCTTGAAGAGGTTTAGCTTGACATTGCTTAATAGAGTAAAGAGTGGAAAAGGGGGGTCGGGGGAGGGCAGTACAACAACTGTTGTTCAGCTAACGCCGCCGCAACGCATGATTAACAGCAACCTCATCTGAAAACAGGAATTAATATGCGTAAGGATCACGAGAAGAAAAAAAGAAATACCTGGACACACGAAATCCACCGCTTTCCAGTAGTACGTGGAAACCATTTTTGACGTCTAAGTAAATGCAATCGAGCAGATTACGAGGTGTTTTGAACGTAGATTCGAAGCACTTTGCGATTTCCTAGTGAGCAGATGTTATGTGGCATTGGTATAGAGAAAGTAAAATATTTGAACAGAGTCAATAGATGCCCGAGACTCGAGACGCAAACGGGACCTTCCTGAGCTCTTTCTCGTCGCCGTATTTACTATCTTTAGGGTGACTGAGATAACCAGGCTCGAGACTCGATCGAAAATGAGCCGTAAGAATCGCCGCCTGTACGTAGCAATCTAATTTTTTCGTCAAAGGTGTATTTTACAGGCAGATATTTTGCTGTAAAATTATAAAGCGTATTTTTTTTTTGTAGAAATATGGCCAAAAATTTTGCCAGGGCCCAACGGCGGACGTCGACGCAGACAACTGAATCGAGCGGCAGGGCGCGTTTGCTCACTTGCACCCTCGCTTTTTCTTCATATACGATGGAGTAGACAATTGTATAGGATTGGATTGGATTCTTTCGACATTCAAAAGCCGGCTGCCAAAGAATTCTCGGGATTGGCCACATTCAGAAAACATGAAAATTACTCCACTCACTCCGGTCGCAAAAAAAAAAAAAAAAAAAAAAAAAAACTTCTACTAAGTTATGTGTAGAATTCAGTGTTTTCGGATAAATTCGAAAGAATCCAAAAACGCTCGCCGGTAAATTTTGTGTCGATTCGCATTTATCCGAAAAACTCAGAATTTCGACGTCATAGCGACAAAATAAACAGCAAAAAAGACGGAGTTTTACAACTAAACTTTGTAAGAGCACAAGGTCAGTGGTCCCGAGAAGATTCCACTTCAGTTTCTTTAGCTGGACCTTATTTATCTAGTTTTTCAATTAAAAAAAAAAAAAAAAAAAAAAAAAAACATATGCTGTAAAATGAATTCCAAATTTCTAAGAAAAATAGGAATCTAACTTCCCCCCCCCCCCAAAAAAAAACAACAACAACAACAACAACAACTTCGATAAACCCCGAATCCCCGGTGAAAAACAGACTCCGAAAAACCCCCTCCGAATTTCACGAGAAATAAACTCCGAAAACACGGAATCCTAGTTATATATGACACACACGTTGACCTTACCCGCGAATGAGAATCGTTAAAAACCCAAGACAAACACAGAGAAGTCTCAAAATGTCTAGACTTTGTGTTTGTGTCGTCATTTCAAAAACTTCATTCTCGGGTAAATTCACTATGTTTTACCAGCATCAGCTGACTCGCAACCAGGCTTTTTGTTCATATATGATGGAGCAGACGAAACAATGGTTTGGATTAGATCGAAATCTTTCGACATTCCAAAGCAAGTCGCCAAAAGTTGCCAGCACCGGTCGAAGGACGTGCGCCTGTTGAGTTGAGAAAACAAAACGTGGGTTGGTAAAAAAGAAACCGCCTCTGCCAACTTGATGCTTTGTTTCGAGGTCGTTGTTTTTATTGTAGTTTGCGACTCGGTTCTTCTCCCTGTGTGTGTCCCACGAGAGGGGAGGGGATTTGTCTTTGTGACTGACTTGCGCGCTGGATTGAATCGTGGAGGTTTGTTTGACGTTCTGCCTGAGCGCCATTGGGGACAGAGTCAAAGTGGCGTGAAGCACTTTCCAGCGTCGCCATGCGCGCCGCTCGTTCCGAAGACGAGTATCTAGGCAAAGCACACACGCGGCAAATCAAGCATCCGGGTTAGTGTCACAATAACTCGCTTTTTTTGTCTATCGATGTTTGAATTCACGAATATTTCTCTATTGTGTTTTTGATTTCGATGCACGGTCTGAATCAATATTTGTTTTGAATTAGGTCATTTGATGCACGGCTGCAATCAAAATTGATTTTGACATTGACGGTTTAATTTAGGGTTTGGAATAAAAGGTTCAGGGCCTGAATGGAAAGGTTTAGGATATAAATAAGAATGTTCAGGGTTTTAACAAAATGTTCAAGGTTTTAGTCAAATGTTCAGGGTTTTAATCCGAAGGTTCTTGGTCTGAATCAATGGTTCAGGGTCTGAATGAAAAAGGTTAATAATCTGTATCAGAACGTTAAAGCTGCGAATGAAAAAGTTTCGGGTTCTAATTGAAAGAATTATGGTCCTAAATAAAGGATTCAGGATCTGAACCATAAGGTACTGTGTCTGAATTGAAATCTCCAGTGTTTGAACCAAAGGGTTCGTGGTCTCAGTTAAAAGGCACAGGGAGTAAGAAAAACAGTGCTCTGAATTTGCACACGGGGTTGGGTGATTTTATTTATTGGTCACAGCAAAGATAATGTGCACTAACCCTTTCGAGAAAAAGGTGCCTGACGTGCTGAATCGCGGTCAGTATCGCTACACATGCTGCGATTCAATTTTAATCAGAATGTGTTTTGGTGCGATCGTTGGTTGGTAAGTCAGACGGTTTTCAAGTAGAGAGTCTTCCAACAGGGGAAACATGTCTTTAATTCCTGTAATGATTATAAAAATCTATATATACCTTGACAATATTTTTTAGTGTTTAAAAAAACTTGTCCCAGAGATTACTGAAGAAACATCCTTTCAAAGAAAGTTTGTTTATAGCGTTGAAAGGATATGGAACTTAATTCAGCTACAAATTGTTTCATTTATTATGCATAAAAATACTTCAAATAATATATTACTTTACTTAAAAATACCTTAAAAATAAGTTTTTACACAAAAGTTTAATAATCTTTATTGGAAAATTTTTTTTGACGATTAGAAGCTTTTTTTGGGAACCTAAAACCTTCTTCAGGGGGAAATGGTTTATTTAACACCCAGTCAAATGCTTTTTCTATGAACAGCACTAAACATTTCATAACAATATATATATATATGTATATATATATATATATATATATATATATATATATATATATATATATATATATATATATATATATAATGTGTATTTTTTTTTTAATTCGAGAAGTACTTTTTGGGTCAAATCCAGAAAATATATTAACTTCAGCACCGCGGAAGTGTCCTCTTAAAAAACCTTATTTTTGAGAGGGAGCAAGTGCTCAATCACACCGAAACACTATTTTTTAAACAGTCTTTTGCACACCGTTGTAAATTTCAATTCCTACTATGTTCGACCAATCTTTGAATACGTTGTAGTTTGGGATATATTATATTATGTGTTTATAAATCAAGTGGAAAGAGTGAAAAAGAACACGAAGGTTGTCACTGAAAGATACGGTTATACTTAATTTTTGTAGAAAGTACATGTTCGATTTAAGCCACTCTACTAAAGTAGCGAATGAGGCCAGTTGGTAAACATTGTTCAGAATGGAAGAGTTCAGACAACGCAGACGAAGAAAAGAGGGAATTACAACAGTGCAAACCTGTTGTGGTTGTTCCTTTTATTTCTCTCTGTTTACCGAGCTGTTATCCCCATTAGCCACTGTATTTGTTTCTTGAAGATGGGTTTAAGTAACAATAATAAATAACATACAAGCATTCAAACAAAACAAGAACAGAAAAAAAAGTATTTTTGTTTTATATGCGATGTGTTATTTCACGAAGGTCAGACTTCACGTGCTAAAGAGAGAATTCAACCATAGATCTGGTACTTTGAAATACTCGTTTGTTTTCACGTATAGTCCAAGAATGGTATTAACATTGTTAAATTGTTGCAAGTGTACATTGACTTGCCTTGTCTTTGTTCAATGAGCGTACTTTATTTATTTATTTATTTATTGAAATACCTTAAAGGCCCTTCTGGGAA